TTTTTGTTTTTTAACAGTTAACTGTGTCATTTGACTAGAAAAAACAACTCGGGTTCATTTGAATCACATTGTATTTTTTTTTTTACACAATGCGTTCAGATAGCAGTCGCAGCAGCACAAGGTTTGAGGAGCCAAAATTCCACACGACATTACAAAGTGTGTCAGTGTGTACCGGGGCAGACTCAAGGTTAGAGATTAAGAATTACTGACAGCTGCTACAAATCTCAGGACAGGCCGTCTGCTCAGACAGGAAGTGCTGCAGATTTCTCGTGGATCTGGAGTGCTTTGAAACAGTGATTGACTTTTGTTGATGAGGTAACGTTCATAAATGAAGAAAATCTATGTTTTTAGTACTGGAACTGTTGTTATTTACATTCACTTATCAATTCAGTATCTGCCTTCACTTCTTTTCTGAACCGGTTCATGGGAGAGTTACAGCAGGCTTAGCCCCGCCCCTAAATACTTTAAATTCTTCTTATTATTATTTATTATTACTATTGTTGTTCTTGACATATGTTAGTGCTTTCTTCGCTTCCTTTCCTTTTGAACGTTCATCATCTGGAGCTTCATGGCTAACCTTTTGTTATGTCTTTACTAGAACATTCCTGTAGATGTCCTCAACCTCTCTTGGGTAACTTCACGCCTGGTTTCCTGACAGTTAATGTTTAGTCTCATCCACCCAGACAGTGTGGGATTGTTGGGAAATCATTTTGACTGTTCCTAGATTGCAAACCTGGAACAGTCATCTTACACACAGGAGTTTGATGGGACTGGAGAGAAACGAGGGGAAAGAGACTGGAAGGAAGGAGAGAGATGGGCACAGATGAGGAGAGAAACAAAAAACGAAAAAGAAAGAGTTATGGGCTTCTTTCTACATTCCGTCTCCATCCCCCTTTTTCTTCAAACTCAAACAATTGTGCCACTGTGAGAGAGCTGGAGGTCATTGCCTCTGCTTTCCATAGGCAGGAGCCGGTACATTCCTTGGAGCTGCTCTCAGCCAATAGGCAGCCAAGGAGGAAGAGCTCCAATCCAACTAGTCCCCAAGAATGTATCAGCCATTGATTTGTTTCCAGGATCACCCCTCCTGAGCTCGCACTCCCCAATATTTCTCCTGTTTTTCCCCTTCTTTTTCTCTTCCTCCTCCCCCATCACTGGCGTGTGTCCCGTCTCCCTACTTTCATTTTCCTTCGTGTTGCTTCACCCTCTCTTCCCAACTGTTGTTGCTTCCTTTCTCTTCCTGCTCTCATGGTGATGCAGCTGGTAGTACTTAAATTGTGGAGTGGAGTGCACATGGGGGCTGCTGAGGGGGGAGGGGGGGTGGGAGCCTGCGGGAGCCTGCCCAGTTTCCCTAAATATTCTCTGCTTTCCACAAAGACACACAAAAGGGCTCCTCCCTAATAAAAACACAGTCACACAGATAGAGCAGCTCTGGGAACAACTCACTTCTCTGAGCATGTTAATAATAGGTTGAGTTCAGTTCTCTTTATGATGCAACCTCATCATGGAAAAATGGTTGAGCTTCTCTTCTCCCTTACCCTCTTCTACTCTGTCTCCTCCTCTCCTCGTCCGTCTTCTTCTCCTTCCTCTTCTCATTTCGTCTTTGGTCAAGAAAAAGTCCAGCAACTTATTATTGTTTAAATACTCCTCCTCTTCTTCCCAAGTAAAACTGTATGTGTCAGATCTGTCAAGAATGTAGAAATGTCCACACAGTCAAAAATGTCTGTGTGAAAAATGACTTTACTCAACCATGAATATGCAAAAATTACAGTCAACAAAATGCCCTGTCAGTGTAATCTGGATGTAGTTCCAGTGCTGTTGGGACAACAAACCCCTCTGGAACATCTCACCAGACTCTGTCTCTGTGAAGGGCACACATTCACACATAATGTCCATTTGACTCCATCTGTAGAGAATTCATTTCTCCTGCTCTCTCCTCCTGATGCGACCCTTTCCCACCATTTCATCAGGGAATTCCCTTCCTGTAGCAGCCAGGCTGCCTGATCATCACTGCTCCCTCTTTTGTTCCTGCGGTTGTGTAACAGCCTGAAGAGTCTTTTGTTTTCGTTTCTGCACATCACCTCCTGTCAGGACGGAGCTCACTCTGGTTCACACACTGTCTTAGCTCACACCTTCACACACACACACACACTTCTATCCCTCTTATGTTGTAACCCAAGCAACAGCTCCAAGAATGTGTGTTAGTGTATGTATTTCTGTGTGTGTGTGTGTGTGTGTGTGGTGTCCCAGAAGGGCCCCAGAGGTGACCAATTAGGTTACTGGATTTTATGAAGCTGTTACCATGACGGATTAGTTCTGTATGTAGAACCCACATGAGCACATAAGATAACAGGAACTGTTCTATATTCACACTTTCCAGTGAGTCAGCTGCCCTTCTATTTTGGACCGGTTAATAGTTACTGGCAAAGAAAGAGGTCCATTGAAAAACCTTTTCTGAACAACTCCAAGACCAGCTTTGATTTTTTTTTTTTTTCTTAATCAGCTGAAATCTTTTCCTGCGTTCGTATTAAGTGTCACTGTGGCTGCGTCTGTGTCGTTCCTTGAGAAAGAGAGAAAAAAAGTTGTTTTTGTTCTCCAGACAAAACATCACTGTGCTACCACTTGATGATTTACAGTTCTGTCTGTGCGATGAAGTATTAACTCACCCCTTCTTTCCTTCCTTTCTCCTTCCAGAAATTCAGACGGAGGGTTCAGGAGTCCACCCAAGTCCTGAGAGAACTGGAAATTTCATTACGGACCAATCATATAGGGTGAGTCACTGCAGGGTTGTGTAGCGTTGAATGGCCTGGACCTGGTTATATTAGATTCAGAGGGAAAAGTCTGACATTCCAGACACCACGAGAGGCAGCCACCGACACCAACCACCACCATCCCCCATTCACCCCCATACTTCAGAGTAATATTACACAGGGAGCCATGTGGCAGTGGTGGAAAGATGATTCCATTGATTGTTTGGTGTGGCAGACACAGGAACAGTCTGTGGAGGAGGAGGAGAAGGAGGAGGAAGAAAAACACATTTTCCTTGCAGTAGTTGAGCTGCAGAACCCGATACTTCAGTGTTTCAGTCTGACATCTCCGAGTCTTATTAATGATTTCACAAGAGATAGAGGAAAGTCGGGGTTTTTTCTCTTCCGAATGCCGGGTATTCCAGGATAGCAAGCCTGAGCGTGAGGCAGCTGATACTGATCCACGGCTGCCTATCAAGAAACGGTGACAGATCAATATCTCACTTTGACTCATAGGAGCGCTCAGTGTTTTGTCTCGCTCCAGATCACAAGGCCTGTTTGTGTGATTAGAGTTGGAGGCTGTCATGGATCACTGAGCATTATTCATGAGGGCTAATGCATTTTGGGAACTGTAGGATCATTTATCAAAGCGATTTCTAATTAGATAATAAACTGAATTTATTTGACGTGACGGCCAAATTAAACACAGTGGAGTTAGTTTGTAATATAAACCCTGGGTGCAGTCCTTTTTAATTTAACATTTTCCAGGAGGAGAGGAAGAAAATATAGTTGATCAGTTTTCAGTGAGTTATTCAGTTATTCAGTTACAACTATGTTTTTAACATTTGTCTTTGTACATTATTTAGCAGAAAGAAAAACAAAAAAACATAAGGAATGAAGAGAAAAAGTTGATCATTTCTAGAACCACAGTCTATTTTCAGATCACACTCTGTACTGATGTAATAAACTTCTTTCATCTCCACTGGGTTTAAACCCTGGGTTTCAAATGAACTGAAGGCACCGCCCCCACCATCATGTGGTGGTAATACCAGGGGTAGATTTTGAATCAATACACTGATGCAAAAGTGCAAAAAAGTCACATAAAATAAATTATTTTAACATTCTTAGAATACCAACTAAAACACTTTAATTAATGTAGAAAAAACAATTAAAAATAAAATTTAAATAAGACAAGTTTCATTTTAATTAACATCTAGTTGTGGGCTGGGTTTACCAGCGAGACGTGGCCCCCGGGGTGTGAGTTTGAGAACTGGTGTCTAAACAAGCAGTGTTTCTATTTGTTGTTTTTCAGTCTTTCCTTAACTTTTGTTTGTTGTTTTACAGCTACATAAACTAAATTATCCCGTTTCACACTTTTGCTCCTATGACTCAGAACATCTTCAGACGTCTTTAAATTCAGCTCTGCACACATGAGATGATCCTTTGAACTGAGCTAAAGCACATTAAAGGTTTGGCCGTAAACAATGCTGAAAACTGGGCGTCACGACTTCAGTTCAAGGAAACGGTCAAATCAGCTGTAATGTTTAAATTGCCCTCTGACCTCTGACAACTCGGCGTAAATCCATGGATGTTCAAGTGTTAATCAGAAACAAATGTCAAATGTCACTGATTTTTTTTACAGTGGTTCTTACTTTATTTCTATTCAGCTCTTTAGTTTGAGTATTTTATTTTTTAACGTTAAACAGCAGTTGATGCAGAAGGTTGATGCAGACTCAACATCACAGCTGCAGTAGTGAGACGCAGTCAGATGTTGTTGTTTCAGCTTTAATTGAATAATAGTCACAGCCCTGTTTTGGAGACTACATGAAAGAGGACGAGAGCGGAGAGCATCGTTTGAGGAGGATAATCACAAGAGACACGAAGAAGCAACAATTAGAACGTCCACAGACCACAGACCGAGTTACACAACTGTCACGTGATCACACACACCCAGAGACATACAAACACTTCCTAAAAACTTTTTTCTCTCTTATTTTTTTCATTAGCCCTACGCTAAAACATCAGCCCGTCTGTTTGTTTCTCTGAGGAGCTCACAGATCTGCTCAACTTTTCTGACACTCATCAGACTCTGCCTCTTACACCAAAATAAAAAACTCTGTCTTCAGCGAGAGAGACGACGTCCATCTGGCGGGGCGGCTGAGTCCCTGTTTGGATTAACTGTTTGTAGTAACCTTATGTTAACTAGATTACGGACCTTAATCTAGATTAGACCATTCGGGCAATGCTGTGATTGCTGCGTGATAGGGACGGGGGCTCGGAGATTAGCGGGGGTCGGAGACGGAGGGGAGGAAAGATGTCACCCACTTAGCCCGTGAATGGGCCTCCTTCTTTTCAGGGACGTATTTGTCATTTAAGATGTGTATAATAAGCAGATTGTCTCTGTACGCTGCATGTACACAGACAATCCCGGCTCCCTGTCTGCTCCTCACATGTTGCTCAGTGGCCAACAACATGTGGTGAATGGGAGAATTGTTAGTTAGTGTCCTCTGGTAATGATTACCATGTGGTCCTAGAAGGCCACGCCCCCAAGCCCTTTCAAAACACAAGGGGCCCTACCAGGCAGTGCTAGACTGGACACACTCGTTAGTCTTACCCGCTCCCATGCAGTTACACCGCAGGGGACCTCATAAAGAAGTAGCAAGTAGAATTTTAAAGCAGCTCAGCTCCAGAGCTCCGTCGGTGCAGTGCTGCTCAAACACCCTGCCTGTGTGTCATTATGTTTATGCCCCTGCAAATTTTTCCCAATCACTGAGCAATCAGGCCTGGTGAAAGGAGACGAGGCATCAATAAGAAAGTAGACACGACAGCTTCAACGCGGGCAATGAAATAAAGATGTCCTGAGATTTAAGCTGTCATTATTTATGAGGATGGTGGAGAACGGACAGGAGTCAAGAGGTGCTGAGAGGTTTCCTGTAGAAAAAAAAGTGCAGAATAAAAAATGAATGGTTGCAGTCTCCTGCATCGTCTGGGTTTTTGACCTCCATTACCTTCTAGAAAAGTCAATTAAGTCCATTTCCAAGTCATGACTGACATCAACAATAATCTTTGACTGACTATTGTGTCTTTAGACAAACAGATTTATTCAGTCGTTTTTCAAAGTATGGGGCTCGTAACACTGCAGGTACCTGGGCTCCCTGGGTTTATTATTAGTCTTAGGTTAATATTTAATTTGTTAATTACACCTTTAATAGATATTCTTGGTTGCTTTGTGTGTGTGTGGTTTCAGCATCAAGTCAAAGTACAGTTACAAATAGGCTGATACTTTTATTATAAATGTTATTAGAATGAATTTGAACTGTATTTTATTCTCGGTCAAACTGATGATGTTTATAATAATATCAATACATAGAATGAATTAACATGAGCCACATTAACGCAAATAACAGATCGCATATATATATATAAATGTATATATTTACATTTTATCCTGGAAAACTGCAACTCCTGTATGATTCCTGTTCTAGGTTTTTAAACACAAATGAAAGCAAACATATATCTCATGAACCGTTGTCTGATTTTGCTGACTTCTTTCTCCCCCTCTCTTCAGGTGGGTGAGAGAGTTCCTGAATGAAGAGAATAAAGGTCTCGACGTCCTGGTGGAGTATCTTTCTTTTGCACAGTACGCTGTTACGTAAGTCACGACCAAACTTTTTTCTCCTATTTGCCATTGCAGTCCATACACTACACTGACAGGCAAAACAATGCTGGTATTCTGTACAACCAGTGATGTGTCACTGCATGGTGCCAGCACCACCACCATGACCACCACCGCCATGACCACCACCACCGCTGCTGCAGCCGTATAGTCTACGGAAAGACTGAGTCACTTGGGACCATGGCTGACACATTGTTACTCACTAATAGTCACTCTGTCAGTCTGTGAATCCAGCTCCGTAGTCGGTGCACTGCAGTGACCTGGTCCTGTGTGAGGCTGAAGAGTCACCGTGCTAGTTATGTAGTAAGATTTTACCAAAGGTTTGACCAAAAGTTTGTTCAACTTAAAATTTCAACTGAATAAACTGCTTGAAATTATTTTAATAAGATGGAGTATAAAAAAAATACTTAATAAAACTATAATAAAACAGTGTTTTAAGTGACGTTTAAAACTGTACTTTTAAATCACTTGAAGTGTGATTGAATAATGGGAGTGTGAGCTAACTGGCTAGAAAGTTAGCTTATTAGCTTAGGGTGGTGTTCAGTAGCGGCATTCTCTTTAAAATGCCATTCTTTTCAGTCATTTCATCAAACTTCTCAGGATGTAAAGACTTTTTTTTTTCAGGTAAGAATATTTTTCCGGCTGAGGAATTAGCTACAAGTCATGATTGAAAACTTGAAGCTTTTTACAGGATGTCATGATTAGCTAGCTAGCTAATTGCTAGTGGGAATTCAAAGTGACCCAACAAAGATGAAAACATGAGTTAGGACTTCCACGTAAACTAAAAAAGACAAAATTTTAACATGTGGTTGTGAAATGTTCTTTTATTTGTTTGTTTTTTGGATTTGACAGGTTGTAAGAATTCAACACTTTTTTTTTCCAAACAAACATCATTTTTATTTCAACCATCTGTCACTTATGAAGTCAGTATAAAACAGCAGGGATTCTTCTTCACAGTGATCTAACACAGACTTAACCATGTGCTATTTATTGATATAATATTGTCTTTCAATCGCGTCATACACTCAGCACGCAGCTACCACGAAAGCACCTTCTAAATAACACAAACTCTCTGCGTGATCACCGATGTCTTCACCGTTCTGTTTGACTCTCTGTTTTGCTTTGTCAGGTTTGATGGAGACTGTCTGGAGAATAATCCAGAGGCTGGAATAGATAAGTCTAAGCCCTGGAGCCGCTCTATAGAAGACCTGCACACAGGAGGAACCCTGCCGTCTCCCATCACCGGGAACGGCATCACTCGTGCCGGGCGACATTCCACGTTACGGTATGGTAGACCGTGAAAGAGTGCTGTTTGTTTGATTTTAACGTGAATCTTTTCTGAGTCGTGGTGAGTGGGTCAGTGTTTAGAGAAGTCACACATTCCATACGATGCTCAGTTCTCCGGCTCAGTCATGAGGTCTTGAAGTCTTTAAATGGCTTAAGGTGGCCACAGTTTTTCCACAGCGTGTAAACACCACTGTGTCTGGAGTTGGGTTTTTTTTTACTCCTTTTCCATTGTCAGACTCTGATGATTTTGTCTCATGTGAGACATGATGAATGTGACAGAAGACAAACAGGAACATCCCTAAACTCTAAATACTGTGCAGTACATCATTCACAGCAGTGAGTGAAGTGTAAGAAGCTCCTGCTAATATATGCCCCCGCTGCACAAATCCTATTGAGTTGTGAATTAATTCACTGATCCTCTGTGTCGTTCCATTGATGTTGCAGCTCCTCCGTGACCCCTGTGACCTCTGATATGGTTGTTTGAAGAGTAAAACAATAGTCATTATACACAAACACCGCACATGACTTAAGACGTGAATAGAATAGATTTGCTCACATTATTGCAGTCGTGTCCTCAGTTTAGAATTTTCCTGGTAATGTCTTTTACTTACCCATAATTCAACTGGGACAGTACAGCTAACAGCTTTAGCTTAAATGCTAAGGTGAACTACCCAGCCTGTAGATCAGTGCGCTCAATACCTTCACAGTTTATGATTGTTTTATAAGCCCATGACCAGTTGAACAATCAGTCATGATTACTTCAAGTACAGGTGCAGTCAAATGCACCACGTCTGCGTCTTCACTTAGACAGAAATATCTTTTCTGTCCTGTTCCTCTCGTCTCTCCGTAGTCTTTCTGTCTTCTGTCTGTCAGTCATGGACAGCAGACAGGTCTCAGCTCTGCTCTGCTGGCTCACAGTCAGCTTTGTGTCCCCCCCCCCCCCGCCCACACACGAAACAATACCCAG